TAAGCAATGCAGTTATACTATCGCTACAAAATTACATTGTTTAAGGTGTAGCATATGCAAGAGAGATGTGCCTGGTCACCAGAACAATGGATATTCTCCGTCACATAAGCCATCCTCTTCGTTTCGCCGATTTCCCGTAGCAGTGTTTCCAAGCCATCACTTATCTTCTCGAATGTGCTCACACTGCAACAGCATAATATTCAAATCGCAACACAAAAAAAAGGAAAAAATTTCAAAAAGCAGCTAGACTCCAGAAGCACGAGTCGGTTCCAGTACTGCAAGCAGCAAGTTTCCCACGAACAGCAACACAACAATTCCAGTGTTGCTAGCCCTCAGATTAGTACTTCTAATTTTACGTCTCATTCTAAGTAATACAGTGCGAATGTAACACTTTCGGACTCGCTTATTCGACTGCTGAAAAAAATAACACTTCCCAATCGACTTCGATGCTTCCATGACTAAATTTAAGACCCATTCGAGGAATCCAATTTTCACATTTTCCTATAAATGTGTGAGGTTCCAGTACTTCCCATCAGAGCAGAAAGGTAACAGCCGCACTACTCACCCCAACTCCTGCTTCTTTTCTTCCCTTCTTCCGTTTAATTTCATGTAAGGCAAGGGCATCCCCTCGACCGACGCTACGTTATAAGAAGGCTTCGTTCCTTCGTATAACACTCTAAATCGGAGTTCGAAGTGCTAGCACATCCGCGCTCAATGTTACAATCCCCAGTTCCTCCTTTCGTGCGTCAGATGGAAGTTCCTTCTGCATCAGACAAGTTGCAAATATTGCTCAAAAAAAAAAAACTACAGCAGTAAGATATGTGACGGTGGCAGTGTACTTTTACGATGAGGCAAAAAATCGCAAAAGACAACAGACTATGAATCGAAGTCAAGGCCGAAAAAAGGCAGCAGCCCAGCAGACTACTAATTCGCCCTGTTCAAAATTACCCTTACTTCATCACACGATGTTTGTACTTCCAGTCCGCTGTAATGTAATTCGCCGAGACAACAGCAATCTCGTCCTCAATGGTCATTCGTTCCACGGAAAACGAGAAACCGGATGTGCGCGCAATCTGGCTTATTTCGGCAGTTAATTCAGACAAAACCATTGCACTACTTTCTTCAATCACCTAAAATTGAATAACAGTCTGAACACAACAGCCAGACGTGGATACAGTTTTTCACATTTACGTCACATTCTCTTTGGATAAAAACCCGTCCACATCCAAAACAAACAAAGACAAAACCCTCGTAAATAGAGATATTCAACGCATGGTTTAAGCTCTTTTCAGCTCAAACCTCCTGCCAGGAATATGACCAGAGTAGAGACCAAGTTTAAAGCGAAGATATCAGGAATAAGCGTTGCAATGGACTGGCGTTCTGGCCATCGATAATGCCGACCAATTGATAATGCTGTTTCAATCAAGCCGTATATCCCCTCACCCTGAAAAAAACACACACACATACACACAAACACCCGATTACCTGCGCAAATCCAAAACTTTTGTTATGCCTTCAGAGACAGCCTCGCTACCCTCTATAACTGAGATGATATAACAGCCCATAGTCGTGAATCAATAAAACACACATGAAAAGTTGCCAGGTACGGACAAGTAATAAAAATCTTGAAAAAGCCGCTTCCAATTTTTCTAGCTCTAGTTAGCATGTGAACGTTAACTTCCATCTGACTGCCTCTCACCAATCCGCTCTATGCCTCCAAGAATTTATAGGAAATGACCAGGGTTGAAAAGATACTTGGAAAATGGTAGGAGGAAGCAAATCAGCAGCGCAGCAACGCACAATTGCATTACAAAATAATCGACGGTCGTTATCCGTAAATGATGTTTCAAACGAGGACTGCGCCGTTAGAGATCCGTGGAAGCTTGAAGATGGCGCTGGCGACTCCTGAAAATGCAGACCAAACGCATGAATTACATCAAAAAAAGTGAAAAATATCACGCCCAAGCTAATGAGGGGGAGGAGAGGAGGTGGGAGAAGCAGAGGTCGGAAAAGCGAGTCAGTAATTCATCCCCACTCAGAGCAAATCCCCTATCCGTGAACTCCAGAACACAATCAGCCGAAGCATGAAAAGGCCGGCACCCCTAAATAACAAATTCTCATCAAATCTTTCACTAAATGAGAAAGAAGAGCACGGTACCTTTCTATATGC